CACTTATTATTTTGATATTTTAGTTTTTTTTAAACAAAATCAATATTATGTCAACTTTTTAAATTTTTCGATATGGTTGGTTAATTTTTCTCCAAAATTGTTAGTTCTATTTTTAAGTAATTTTTTTTGTTATTCTATTAATTTGTATTTTAAAGAAAGAATATTAAAAAATGAAATAAACAGAATACTCGTTTTCATCCTCACTCAAGAAAGAATAAAATTTAACAGACTAACCACTGTGATTAATTAAAATTTAACACAAAAATATTTTTGATGAAAAAGTGTTTTAAAAATGGTAAGAGGATTTAGTGTAATTGTTGATGTTTGAATGAAAAAATAATATTATAATGATGAATTATTTGAACTTAATAGAAATAATTTGAGATTAATGAAAGAATAATTAAAGAAATTAAAAGATAAGAGTATTTTATTTGATACTTCATATATAATTAGAGATAATTATATTCCAAATTATTAATTATAAGAATACAGTTCTTGTATGAGGTTGAATTTATTTCTAATAAATAACACAAAGAGAGAATAGTTCATTTATTGAATAAATATTAAAGAATATTGTTAAATCTATCTAAGTTAAAAAACATATTTCCAAGAATTGAATACTGAAATCAATAGAAATACTATTCATTTATAATTAATTTAAATAATTTAATTTGTTTGAATAAATAACTCTAATTCAAAATAAATTTAAATAAATTAAAAAGTGTTATTTAAATAAGTTAAACAAAATTTTATATGATTATATTAAACTATAATATGTAGTAAAATTGACATAGATTAAAGTATTAATTTAATTAAACTGATTAAAATATAAGAAAATGAGTTGAAAAAGTGTTAAATTAATAATCAAAATCACTATTTCTAGAAAATAAAAATATCTAGATTTGCTATTTCATATAATTGATATTTATTTAAACAATGAATGATATTACCAATAAATGTAATTTATTATTTATTTAATAAAATATAAAAATATAATTGTATAAGATAGAATTATATTTATTTCTATTTCATTATTTGAAATTTAGTTTAAATTTATGATATTAAATAACTAATAAATACTATAAATTAACTATTTAATTTCATACTGTTTTAAATAATATAAATATTGATTATTCTTACAATGATAATATTCAACAATATATAAGAATATAAAAATATATTAATAATATTAATCATACATAATTTTTCGTTTGATATGATCATTTATTTTGATATTTATTGATATTAAAATAATGAAATAAGAAATTATTTCAAATATAATGTAATGATCAAGTGGAGATAAGTCATATTAAGATAATAATTTGTTTAGTAGATATAAAAAGTTAATGAAGAAGAAATACCATAATATGAACAAATAAAATACAAATATTAGAAAGATAAACTAAGAGCTATAATAAATAAAATTGGTATTAAAATGAATTTATAAACTTATGTATAGATAAAATGTATTAAGCAGAGTCTAACATGTTGATAATTATTATAATAAGATGAAAATATTCTAACTGAAAGATGTATTTCAATTGAGTAATAAAATTTAATAAATAAAATAAGACATCTAATCAAAATAAATGGTCATAACAATACATTAATTTAAGAGTAATCAATAAAATTAATTAAATGTGATCTAATAAGTAAAGTAGTAACTAATACCTATTTTATATTCATGGTACTTGTATTGATTTATACCATTAAATTAAAATATATTCTTATTAAGATATTGATAATTATTTATTACTATTTCATATCATTTATATATAAGAAATAATAAAATATAACAAAGAATAAAAAGATGAAACTAGAAAATAAAAGAATAAAGAAAAAGTAATATTGAATTGAAATAAATAAGTTAATGACAATAAAATAGATAAGCATAATAAAATAAAGAACAAAAACTAAATGAAAAAAAAACTAAATGTTTTAGCGAATATTCAAACGAAAATAAAATGATAAAAGAAATAAAAAAAAAGGAAATGAATTATGAATTACCTATATTTAGGTTTTCATCATGTTGAGAAGTGATTATTTCAGTTTATTCAACATGCTTTATTTTGATTGAAATAAGGCTTTTTCAAACACACTCGACTTAATGGCTCATCACTTAAGTTGCTGTCTAATTTTTAATTTGAATTAAATGAGTACTAAAACTCTTCAGTGGTTATAATGTTATTTTATGTTGACATATTAATAACATTATAATTATCTCCTTTATCATCAACATTGTTTAAAGAATCTATTTTTCTTAATAAAACCCCATGTCTTCAGCTCAAAAACTATCCTTAACAAACACCTAAGTGTTGATAAATAAATAATACTTTCATAATAATCACTCATAACAAATAATAATAAATAACAACCAACCGATTTTGGTGGGTGTTATTTCACCAAAGGCATGTCATGACCAGATAATAACTGGTGATTAGAAGCTTGGATATATTAGGGTTCCATATTGGCGTCTCTGATGTGCCATCTTTGAGTTAATAAAATGATAAAAGAAATAAACAAATAAAGAAAATAATATAGTAAGGAGAATATAAATTAAATGAAAAACTTTTTCTTAAAGCATAAGTGTTGCTTCTTTAACAAATAATCCATCAAAATTTATTTCTAAAAAAAACTCAAATCTGAAAAAAAAATAAAAAAAAAGAAGGAAAAAGAGTATTTTTGATTGTGTAGAAGGTGAATTTGAATTGGTAAACTAAAAATTGATAGTCAAAAAAGGAAAATGCAGATTCATCGATACACAATATTCATTAATGGAAAAAAAGATAATAAAAACATCCAGAATAAAGTTGACTTTATAATCGAGTCATTAATTAAATGTAGAGTACCAAGATGCTCTATAAAGATTTGTAATGTTAGTAATAATAAAGAATTTGAAGAAGTGTTAGAGAGTACAGTAAATGGAAAGCCATATCCATTATTGTATTTGTGGGGAGAATTCTTTGGGACATATGAGGATGTTCAAACTGGAATAGTGGATGGAAGTTTAGCATTATCAGTACTTAATGACCCAAATAGAACACACCAAGGAAAGAAGATTGGATTAATTCGACCTAAATCTGAATTAGAAAATGCTAAAATTTATGAGGATTATATTCATCATGAAAAAAAACAGGATATATTCAAAGACGGTGATATTATCAATGAATACCAAAATGATTCTGATGAAGAAAAAATGGTTGAACTGAAAGGGTTTAATAAACAAGTCCAAATCAATAACGAGAGTTGGATTAGTGGAACTGAATGGTTACTTCGGGTATTATCTGGAATGCTTTTTGTTCCTCTTATTCAACGAGTATTTGAAAATAAAGAAATTAAAAAATTAGAAGGGGACATTGAGTTTAATGTTATTAGAACAAATTGGTATTGGAAACGTTTGTTTTTATAGATTTTTCCGTGAGTTTTAATAAAAGTAATAAGAGAGTAGATCAAAAGAGAATCATTAGATTTAGTAAAGATAAATTTTATAGATTTAATGGAGACACTTTTAGAGAAGAATTTAATTATGATGATGTGTCTGATGTCTTTGTCAATGGTAAAAATATTGTTATTAATTTTAACAAAAACTCTTATTCACAGTTCATAGAATGTGATAACAGTGATGAGTTTTTATCTGTTCTTGAAGAGCATTGTCATTCTCTTACAATAAAAAAGGTTTAAAATCTAATAACCCAGTTGTTTGTACTACTACTTACTTTATATTTTTAATAATTCTTTTGTTGTTATTTAAATAAATTCAAGTGTTATTTTAATAATTACTTTTTTTTTATTAAATATTTATTTATTTATATCTTGAAAAAAGTTTATTTCAATAGAAATAAAACGTATTGATGAAACTGATTCGTTTATTTCTCAACATGACGAAAAAATAATAACAGGTAAATCATAGTTGATTTTTCTTATATCTATTACCTATTTGTACTTTCTTATTATATTAATGATATAGTTCTAAGCATTTACTTTAAAATTCTTTCGCAATACTTACTAACCCACTGTTAAGTTTTAATAATACTAATTACATACATTTTTTTAAAAATAATATATTATTAATGATGAAATATATTCTATCAAATCAAATGACTATAGACCAGTTTTTATGTTATTGTTTCATATGATTATCTATCGTTTATATTAGTTCCTTTCAATGCCTGTTCATTATTATAATTATTTAAAAAATTTTCATTTCCATTTATTTTATAACATTTATTTTTTTTTAAATTTAATGGTTTTACTTGGTCTATCCGTAATAAGAAACATAGTATTTAAAAAAAGTTATATAAAAATATAAGTTACTATATGTTTTCTTTAATTTCATACTATAGTTTTATGACTCACCCTTTTCAACTATAACAAAAGAAATAACAGTTAATCATGGCATGTGGTTATACAATAAACTAACTCACATTTAAATTTTTTTTAAATGTATTATTCAAAATTATAATACAACCAAACCAAATTTTATTAAAATTTTTTATCTTTCTTTAAGGTATTTCACATATTATAATCATTCAACAAAACACTAATCATTTGGTTATGTGAAATATTACTTTGACTTGACTTTTTGTATAAACTTAATTCCCCCATGAAATAACAGCAACAAACATAAACTGTTTGTATTGTTTCTTGAGAATACTTTTCTTTTATCTAATTATTTGTCATTGTGCTTCAATAATTATCACTCATGAAAAAACTTTTAATTTTAGTAAATTTAGAGTACTATAAAAGTTAGTTTTTTATTTGGTATAATTGACTCGTCATAGGTTAGATAAATTTTTAACCTACTCATTTTTAATAGATATTTATGAACTAATTTCACAATAAGATTTCTCTGGTTTTTATTCTATACATTTGCTATAATCAATACTAATTAATGAAGACAGTGTAATTCTAATTTATGTACTTTCTTAGATTTTTATCAAACAATGAAACATACTTGAAGACTAGTTATTTTGTGTTACAACACTCTTGAACATTGTCTGTTAGAAAGAACTAAATTAGTACGATAAAAGGGAAAAGTTATTTGAGTGAATAAAAATAGTTAAACATATGTAAAGCTTATTCCTTGTTGCCTCGTTTAAACAGAGTATGGAATGTTTTACTTTATAAGAAAACTTTACTCTTATCGAGTTGCCTTTTCGATATTTAAGATATTTTATTCTCATTGTTATTCATGAAAAGTCTGATATATTTGTTTGTCATTAACCAAATAATTAAAATAATAAATATTTATATCACTCTTTTTAATCAATTATTGTTCTTCACTTAAAATATGAAAATAAATAAGTAAAATAAGGATTTGGTGACTAATCATTAGCTTTTAGTTTTATTGATTATAATTTGTTTAAGAAAAAGAAATACCTTTCTAAATGTTTAATTCAGAAACAATCATTAAATAAACACATTTACTGTCTGTATAAACTTAGAATTAATTAATGTAGAGTGTTTTTATAATTAAGGAAAGTAATGGTTATTCACTTTCATATAATTATTTAAGAATAACTTAGAACTTCAAAGTTTTATAAAAACAAAAGATTTTTAATATAAAGTAAAATGGTTTTAATATTTTTTGTTAAAAAAACTACAATAACCAAACCTTCATATTTTTCTATTTTTTATATTTCTAGAAATAAGAAAAATTATGTGAAGATATTTTTATCAATATTTACATCAATTTTTATTTTTATCACTAAAATCATAAACTAAGAAGAATATACTAAAATAATGAAATCTTCTAAGTTCTAAAAAAAGTAAAGAAGACAAAATAAATTACATAAAATTAGTATCAAGAGGAGTAAATGGATGAAGATGATTTAATTTAATAAAAGAAAAATCGTTATCAACAATACCATTATTACATGGTTTAAAAGCAGACATAGGGTCACAAGTATCAATAGTATGTAATCCAAGTTTTTCAATTAAATATTTAGCACCAATAAAAGATAAAATATTTGGTGTAATTTTAACAGTAGCCTCTTTAGTAAGGCGTTGTTTAATTTCTTTAGATAAAGCTTTTGTTAATACTTCAACAGATTCCTTTTTTATAACAACTCCATTTGGTGCTTTATAAGATTTCCAAGTATAAAAATTAAGTGTTTTAGTTGTTACTTTTTGAGCAGAAACTTGACAAGTAAGAGTAAATCCATTCATAAGAAGTTTATATGCTAAAAAATTTGAAAATGCAGCTTCTTTATTTTTTGTTCTTCTTTTTCCAACTGAGTTAACCGCATATTCAGAAGATCTAACTTTGAAATCATCACTTAGAACTTTAATTAATTCTGGGTTTTGACGAATAAGTTCTATCTCTGCTTTAACTACTTCTTTTGTTAATGTTAATGTTGTTTCATAACTTGCTTTTGCTTTCTTCCATAAAGTACGAACAGCACATTCAAAGAAATATGCATTTTCTAATATGTCATTTGTTGAATACTTTCCATCAAATGTGATTGAACTACCAACAAAAACCTTTTTTGCTCTTGATGTTTTTTTAGTTTTATCTATTGTAACTTCTGCTCCACAAATAAATGAAAGAAGAAGTAATTCTCTATTGCAAATAGCTCTTTTGTTTCTTCCTTCTCTCTGTTTAAGTGCTTCATTTGATATTCGGGGATCAGTCATGAAATAAAAATATTAAAAAGATGGAAATTAAAAAGATAAAAAATGATTGAGTTGTTTTTACTAGTAAATCAATTTAATGCACTTTTATTCAATTCTTTTTTTCTTAAAAATTCAACTAATGAACCTTTTATTCAACTTTGAATATTCTTCTCTTAATCTAGAACAAAAAGAATATTAAAAAGAGAGACTTTTTTAAATTAAGAACATAAGAAATATATTAATGGCATATTTCTTTTTAGTTTCTTTTCCATATTAAAACCATATTCCCTTAAAAATATTCTGTGA